AGCAACACATTGATGACGTCAGTACACACACACACACTACACACACATACACACGCACACACACATCCATGAGATAATTTCTCATTTCTATTGAAATCCTCTATACATAGTTCTACTATCACTGACTATATATGTATGTAGGTGGAGGAGACGCTGACGCCGCCGGAGCTGTCCCTGCTGAAGGACGTGGAGGCGCGCCTCAAGCAGCTGAGCGGCGCGCAGCTCGCGCTCGACAAGAACCTCTTCATACTCAACTGGTACTTCATGTACCCGCAGTGAGCTCTGCCGCCGGTGTAGAGTTTTAAATTGTGTTTTTCGCATCGACTTATGGGATAATCCGAGATGTTAAGATATTTGATGTCTCCTATACCAGTGGAGAGCCGCAGTCTGGTTTTTTAAGTGACTTCGTAAAATTTTCAAGGAAATGCAAGAACATTGTTCACATTAATAAATATTTGTTAATATAACATTTAGTTTTATTTAGTGAAATAAGTTACTAGACAAGCTCGCAATTTTTTTAATTTTCGGAATGTTCCAATTTGGTTTTTCGGTTAATAAGTTTGCAGATTGTTCTATCCCTTCATTGTTACTATCCTCATTTATTTATGAATATGAATTTTCAATCTTTTATACAAATATAGAAATTAAAAAAAATATATTCGTTGAAGTGAAATAAATGTATTCGTAAAGATAATGTGTTTTGTAAATGATCAAATCGTCAATTTCAAAATTTTTTAAAAACTGACTTCAAGACAAAAATTTTAGCACTCTTTTGTTTCAACTCAAAGACTATTGGATAGTTTATAATCTGTCATCAATACATTAAAAAAAATCCAATCGAATTTAGAATCCATTTTGAATTTTCTAAAATAGCATGAAAGTATTAGGGTAATGAAATAAAAATACAATATACATTCTTAAAATTTTATTTGACCCCATCGAAACTCAATCTTTCAAACAATTTACAACCTATTAGTTACCACAAAACATTCCGATGTGAATGACGAAGCGCAACTACCCAACACAAATGTAAGTCTCCACGACTTAACAGAACTGGTAAGTAATCAACATTGTTATAATTTAATATTAACAATAATATAGATTATGTAATACGTTAGATAAAACACCTGTTATACAGTGACGCCTAATATTAATTTATTACAATACAACCGTTGTATGTAGTCACTCCATTTATTTAGATGTATAAACTATAGGTACGTAATTTGGAACACAAACGTCAAAAAAATCTTCAAGACGCCATATGTTGGGTAAATTACTTTAATGTTGCCATTTGAAGTAAATATGACTTCAAAAACCGATTCTCTTATAATTTTTACTTTGAATTATTAAAAATGTTAACTAAATTAACAAGATAAATAACGTTATTTAACCTGTATTAAAATATTATTTTTTGTAAAATTAAAATTCAATCGTTTTAATTACATAGACAAAGAGATATGATCAAAATTTTATTTTAACAGACATTTATTTAGTACTTTTTGATATTTAATACTATAACTTTTTAAAACACAAAAATTTTACATACAACGGTGTTACAAATATCCACTTCAAGCTATTTAATATTTTAACGCTATATTTGCCTAAATACTTGATATTTACACTCCGATCTGTTCATGTCATATGTGAAGCCATTTGTCTAATTTATTAGTAAGTAGATTTCTCATAGATGCATAAAAAAAGTAAGTGCTCCAATTTAATTTTAATAAAATTAAAACATGTAAGTGATAAAATTCGTAACGTAAATCAATGGTTCCTACGTAAACTCTCGTAAGTCACAATTTTGCGATTTACACCTGGACTTTTGTTGTGTAAATTCAAAAGAAACGTTCAAAGGAATAGATGAAATACAGATTTCGATGCATCCTGATTAATGTTTAAAATTTCGTCTTGCAAAATTTCTGTTTCAAACTTATAAAGCTTACGATGGAGGCATCAAAATACTAAATAATACTCACAATTACAACTTTTTTGCTTTTTGTAAAAATAACAGTCGTAATTTTTTACAATTTTTTGAATTACAGTGTGAAATGGCTTCGTTCGACATATTTACATTCTAACCACATTACGATCGCGCGCACACTTGTAACTAAACTATCGCACAACCGGTTTATCTCGCTTCGATTACTATAAGCTTATATAGAGTGCGCATAATACTCGATTTTCAGTTGTGCAACTAAACAGTTGAAGGCTGTAAAACAATCGACACTCGCACAAGTGTGCGATAGTTTAGTCAAAGGTGTGCGCCCTTACTCTTGTAATCTATCGCTATTGAAATGTATTAAAATACAGTAAAGAGATGGAATTATCGCGGCCTAGCATCATACGGAGGCGCACTACATACATACGGATCATTCAGACTATATGTAACACCTCGTATCAAATGGAATCGAAAAAAAAATGATCTATTTAAAATAAAAAAAAAACACTCAATACAACGCGAATATGTAATTGTAATATAATTGTAAAAAAAAATCAAATTTTAACGTATAAATAAAAGATTTGATAGTGTTTTTTGACAAAACTTGGTTAAAAAGTTAAAAAACATACTAAAAAATATTATAATTGATTAAATGTTGCATTTTTTTAAAATATTTACTTACTCCATTTGATGCGAGGTCTCTCTTACAAAGCTCTTACAATTACAAAAATTCCAATTCGAAAATACTCGAAGCGACATCTATATTTACAGAAAGTGTAAAATGACAAGCATTTAAAAGAAAACATGCAAAATAAATTTGAAAATTTTATTATTTATTATAAACTAGATATTTTTACACAACTTAACAAAATACATACATACAACTGAACGGAATATAATCAAAATAAGGTAAAAAAAAACATTCATACGGCATAGGGTCGCACGAGCGAGGGTCAACAAAACTGGTTTCGATGTATCGAATTCTATATTCTAATTTCATCGTTGACCTCTCGAATTTGTAAATGGCAAGATTTCTTTTATTAAAAAAAAATAATAAAATATTTGTCCCCTCACTCGTGAATTTTCGATTTTTTGTCCTAATACTGTTAAAAGACCTTTGAGTTACAGGATGTTCTCAAAGTTAAGAGTTTTAATTATTATATTTGTACTATATCACAAAATATTTCGCTTTAAAGTGGAAAGTAAATTGCTATTATCGATAATGAATCCTAAATAAAGCACATACTGTAGTTTTCTTACGTTTTTTTTATTGCAAAACATAGGAATAGAGATATTTTATACATGCAGTGGAATTTTAAATAAAAAAACAAAGACTAGAAGAGGAAATCATGCAAAAATTAGACGCCATAGTGAAATATAGTGAGTTTTTTTTTAATTTTTTGATAAATAACTATTTTGATTTATTTAAAAAAACATGTATCGATATTGAAAAGGTAATAGGTTAAGCTAAAATCTTTATAACATAAATCAAAACTTAAGCCGAATTAAAAATACATAAATGTTACAACTAAATATATTTTTAAGGGTAGCGCTTATGCCTTGTGATGTTTTAAAACAATAAATATGGACATCAAATAAACAGTTACAAGTAAATGCAAAAGGTACAATAAAATAGTGATGTGCCGCTTATACAAGACATTCGAGTTATAAAAAAAACATCCAAATTACACTATTATTTAAAATTTATTTTACAAATTTTTAAAATGAACCAAATTAAACAATATTTTTTTTTAATAAATGCTAGTCAAATTGTTTAAACTTTTATTTGATGATATTTTATTTTTTATATACTTTAGTATTTATTTTACACTCAGTTATTTCAACAGCACATCACTAAATTTATTAACGGATTGTAAATTTTAGAGCAACTGTCAAAATTTAACATAATTTAAAACAAAAGTCAAGTGCATTTTTCGTCTAAAAGCATTTAATACTAAAATTTAACATTCCTAGCCTCGTAATAGTCGCCTTATTGTTTTCCTTTATTTTTTTATAAAAAAAAATATTGCACATGATGTACACTCATGTCACAAGAATTTTACAATTCATGCAAAATTTATTGGTTGTCAGAAAAAACTGGTTTATTACAATTTTTTCCCCTGAAAAAGTTCACACAAAGTTGTAAATTTAACATAGTACTCAAATATACTTTTAAAAACATTACATAAACAAAAAATCTATTTTAATTCATTTCTAAACAAGACCAAAAAAAAAACTTTACAAAAGAAAAATCTCTACCATTTCAAAAAAAATCCTATGCGAAAAAGTATGTGATCCAATTGCACCGATAATTTAACATTTACAAGCGTAGTAACAATACTTCATTATTTTGCTTTTTATAATCAAGAAAAAAAAAATTAAAAAGATTATTGCAATAACCTATCACAAAAGTAAACAAGTAGCTCCATTTACTTCTATAGCGAACTCTTCAAATATGTACAATGCAAAAAAGATTCATTTAATATACACACATCCTTTCTTTTTATTTTCACTACTTATTTTGTCATTTAAGTTTATTTTTTATTCTATAAATATAATCCGCAGTAACGTAAATTCATGTCCATCTAAATTATAATACTAACAAATTTGTAATCATTGTGAAATGAAATTGTCTTAGTTTTACAGCCATGTTAGATTTTGTGAGCATTACAAAAAAATATGTAAAAAAAACCGTATCACATGAAAGCCGTAAAATATAGTTTACGTTACAAAGGTTTACTAAAGTCGATGTAATCCGAGCAATTTAAAACATTGCTGTGATGTTAATGTTTTTTGACTTACTTCAACATAATTATTAGATTATTTATGAGATCAACACAGAAATTAATTATTTAGTCTAAATCCAATGAACTTAATTCTTAATCTAACACAGCTGTAGAAGCTAAGAATTAACTCGACTCATCCCGACCAAACCCATCCTATACATCCATAACCCATCAAATCCGTAAAATTCATGATGGATTTATTCACGGCGTGCATAAATCCAATTCACAGAGGATGCATCCAGTCGATTCGCTTGCGATATTTTCAAATATAATATCATCGCTCGTTGTGTGCTCCGACTTTAAAGACATTAATTTTGTGCGTCATATTCAAACGTAAGCTTACAAATGAACGTGCCCGCGAAATAACAGATCTAGGATCTTAATTAACTAGAGGCGTTTTAAAAATATCGCAAGTGTTACGGTTTTAATTTAAAAACTACAATAGTTTAGGGCGAAATGGAATCCCGACTCTACGTCACTGAACACACTGAGTCCGTGCCCCCTCCCCGCCGCTGACCCGCGTGCCCCCGTGCCCCCGCGCTCGCACGAGGGGGCATTACAATATGCAGCAAGATGCGGAACAACAACTGCTGGAACCCCCTTTGCTCTTTTGTCGTTGATCTGGAATTAGAAAAAGATAAATTCAATTTATAAAACATCTATCATTAAAAAAAAACTAAACTGTTTAAAAAATCTAAAAACCCAACCCAAACGATTTTGTAAATCAAACGCGATAAAACAATAATGTTTATTTAGTTACATAACAACTAATAAATAACAAATTGTTAAATTATTTACAAAATATATACTACGGCTGACTCTTGTATTCGTTTGGGTTGGGTTGGGGGACAATACAATACTAAAAACCAGTCTAATTATTCATAAAATATCTACGTCTTGAACTTTAATATTACTTACAAGGGATATAAGGATTTATAGGATAGGATGTCAGGTCGGGACGAGTTAAAACCATCGGACTTCTGAAATAACATCAATTGGTGAGTTTGTGTTTTAACATACTACGGTGCAGAGACAGCCGTAGTAGTAAATACCATATTAGACACTAAAAATAATAAATAAAACAAACTATAATACAAGTAACATGATTATATAAAAACTTCATTAACTAATAAGGTAAAAGTTAAAATTTAAACTTTATTCCTACCACATGTAGAATCGTTTAATAGTCCTCTAGAAACAATTTAAGAAATACAAATAACATAAAGAGACCGGAATACATCAAAAAAACCACTGAACTTCCAGTATATTTGACCTATACAACATAGGTGTTGCAATATTATTTAAAGGTCAATAAATAGTGTGTTACCATGTGAGTTTGGTTCAGGCAGATGTTCTCGTGGCACGAGGTGCATCACGGTTGTGCGGCCGAGCGGCAACCCTAGCGCGCCCAGCGTCACCGAACTGTGCAGGAAGCGACCCTGGTAGATGAGTCGCAGGATCTCGGCTCGAGACACGCACTCAGACGCCCAGTCGGCTGGAAAACAATAAACCACTAAATTAATAAATATTTCTTAATAAAAAATACTAACATAATCTGAAAACATCTATATCGGTAGAGGAAATACTTTACCAACCTGTCTGACAAATATAAAAAATGTAAGTTTTTAAAAAGTACATAAAAATGTGTAAGTATTGATTTTTTAAGAAATACAATACTATATGGATTAAAAATAGTAAAAAAAAAAGATCATGGAATATTGCCCCCAGAGAGATTTGAACTCTCGACCCCTGGTTTACAAGACCAGTGCTCTAACCCCTGAGCTATGGAGGCTTACAACATGTCTGTTGTAAATGTTCATAGAGCATCACTATGAATTTATCAACTAATATTTTTAACACATTATCGATAGATGACGCTTTTGATCACAATAAAATAAGAAACTTAAATAGGAATAATCGTTTTCAATTCATACTAATACTATTGTAAATGTACATTCTCTAGCTAGTTTGTTTCTAGTTTGAATAATTTTGAATTAAAATATTTTTTAATAAGCAAAATTTAGAATTACCTAATGGCAGACGTGTCTTAGATTCGCAGGAATTAAAAAAAATAGTTTCCTTTTACAACGATAGATGGCGCTGTCGATATATTTATTCGGCCTTTACAAGTAAGACAATAGCAACTCGTGGTTAAAAATAAAACGCAGACAAAAAGGAATCAAAAGATTGAACAGATTTCAGATAATTAATTTTAGACGTAATTATTCAGCTGGTTGTTTGATAAAGCAAAAAACAATTGAAAACCAACCTAACTAATACAATAAATGCGAAAGTTTGTGTATTTTGATGGATGTTTGTTAGAAGGTATTTCCTAAACGACTAAACGATTCTTCATAAAATTTCACACAGACGTAGAGCATAGTCTGGTAGAACACCCTACATGACCATTTTTTTAATTCCACTTAGACGGAGTCGTGTTCGACATCTGTTACTTGATAACTATGATAAAAACTTATATTTTGCTTTTTTATATTTTTTTTTTGTATGACATATATTTACCAGTACTCTCAGTAAATCCAGTCGGTGAATTCCCCGCGGGCTTTATGACGGCGGCATCATTACGCGACAATGGGCACCATTTACATAATGCTATGTGCCGTCACTAAATCTTACGGGATTGTCCTGATTTTAATATCTACAGATATTTCCATAGATATTTCTACACATAAAAAAATATGTAATTTTCAATGCTCTACTTCGTTTTAATAAGCACAAACTCATTAAAATACATGATACTCGACATCAATAGAACATTTTTAATATTAGATAGAATTTCTTCGCAAAATTAACATCACTTTTAACATTAATTTTTCCTTTACAGAACTCAATATTATGATTGTACTAGCTTTTGCCTGCGAATCCGTCCGCGTGGAATTAAAAAAAAAACCTAGTAGCTATGTGTTCTGCCAGACTATCTTCTACATCTGTGTCAAATTTGATCGAAATCCGTTCACCCGTTTAGGCTACAAACTCTAACAAACATCCATCCATCTAAACTTTCGCATTTATAATATTAGTAAGAAGTAAAATAGGTAAGGACTTGAGCCCATTATATGACTTCACCAATGCTGTGAAATATAATTTTATAATTCAACTTTTAAGAGAGCTTTAACTGCACTTACATACTATCAAGAAAAGTATGGTGCACTTAGTAGTGCCGCAGTCCTCAGTACAATGAGCGTTCATAACAAATATTTATGGGCCATTACAACCCACCTAAATACACACGTATCCATTATTCAGAGCTCTATGTTATTTTGCGTAGTTCCCACATTAGACGTAATAAAATCGCTAAAATGCTGCATGAATTTAAACAATTCAACGACAATAATAATAGTTGGCGACAAGCAAATGCCACTACTCATATTCAGTACTAGAAAAGATAAACAAAAACGATGGATGTTTCTAATGACGTCATACATCATTACTATGCACGATCATAACATTAATAAAGCTAATTAATAACTGCTCCAATACAAGCCAACAATGTTAGGGAGATGCCACATAAACGATACGGCGACGCTATTTTGTACTGTTTATAACTTCACAGATTATAAATACTATGACAAGCGTTTGAAGGGAGGGAGAAGAAAACGAGGTAAAACACTGCTCAGGAATTAATAAAACCTCAACTCGTCATTCTTACACTATTCTTAAACTAATGTATTGGTAATAAACATGTCGTCCCACTCAATCTCATTGAAAAAACAGAGATAACAAAACAATTGCACACATGTAATGGAAACCTAAGAGACTTAATCTTGTGCGTTGGATTACAACACTTTTATTAGGCATACTGACCGAAAAACGGACGTGCGGCAACGGTAGTGTGGCATCCATCTATATTTACATAGTGCGGTATTACCGTCGAATACTTCCGTATCTGTACATATAAGGAAGTGGTTGTAGTGTACTCTGGCATTGGCGATGTTTCTCATTAGACCGCATTAGGACGCGTTAAACGATCCGCGCGGTATGCGGTTGAAATATTAATTGAAATTGCATAACGCCATACACTGCCAATACGGTAATGAAAATAGAATCACCCTCTAAAGATAAATGAGGTCGTATTTAATGTAAAGAATTTTGTAAACAAAGAAACAGCATTTCCGCACGCGTATTTGTATCCAATTATTTAAGTTTAACATATGTAGACTTTCGATAGCGTATTTATTTAGTTTAAAAAATATACAAATAAATCTAATTATTCGATAGGTTTAAAAATATTTTATCGAATTGTATTTTTTATTGAATAAAAAGAAATGTAGTCTCCAACTCGACACCCATTTTGTTCTCGTATTCATGACATTTTCTCAACTCTCACGAGGCGTTTCCAAACTTTGATAAGAAATTATCGAATTAGTGTTTCAAAGTCGAAGTTTAATAAAATTATAAGCACATTATGACAAAGTTTCAGTCGCGTGTATGTTAATCAAGCAGTTATAAATTATTGTTTAGAATTAAATGTTTTTGTACTTTGTCAACAATTGGATTTACAGAAAAACATCAATTATTCGATTCAACATTTGAAATTTAAACATTTTGAAAATCTATGACTACCTCCTAACAAAGATTTTAAAATTTTAGTTGTCCCAGAATATTAAAATAGCATTGTTAACCATAACTGACAGATGACCATTATACACTATACAGAGATAATCCTCTGAAAATAACTGATCTAAAACTGCCACATTTAGAGTGGGAATATTTGATACATTTTCAACACAGGAAACTGCTGTTTAGTTTATTTATTACTACGAATCTTATCTAGAACAAGAGATAAACGAACCAGCGAACATTAAAGTTGCGAAATGCTGCAGCTATTAAAAATCTATACTAATCATAAAGGGGAAGATTTCTAATTTTTTATGTATTGAAATTACTCAAAAACTACTGGACCAGTTTTGAAAATTATTTCACCATTAAAAAGCTACATTATCAGTGAGTAACATAGGTTATGTTTTTATTTATTTATTTGCCTAGAGCGAAATCGCGAACAACAGCTAGTCTGAATTAAATTAAAGATTGGAGAAAGGTTGTAAGCCTTACAGAAAAGTATACTTTTTGTACTATATATCCATTTCCTTGCAAAATCCACTGCCTTTATCAAAAAAGCATAGGAAGAGGGAAGGCAAAAAATTATCTATTACACTCATCAGATAAAAAGCAGAATTACGTCATATCGACGCCTGTCTTCTGTTAATGCCAGTCTAATATGCTTCTGCAGACTCTACCAATGTATCAAGATCTATGAGCTAAAGTATTATATGTACAATCCTAGTATCCTGTCCCTCATCATTCATGTGTCTTACCTTCTGGCCAGTTGTCATAGACGTGCACCGCGATGTCGCCGGCCGAGTCGACGGGGCTGAACACGAACTCCTTCGTCTTCCCCGACACCAGGATCAGCCGCAAGTTGATCTGGAAATAAATAAATACAAATAAATAAACATAAATTTTTGTGTGTATTATTTTACTTTTGTATAGTTTTTAAGAATTGTGTGCCAACATATGTAGATTTAATTTTTATTGTAAAGCGCCATCTATGACTTATTTTTAGTATTACATTATTTTCCGATAGATGGCGTACGACATAAGGTTTTTAAAAATGATCTATGTCTAGATTTGGACAATATTCGTCTTTTTAACATAAAAGATCAATAATCTTATTTAAAGAGGAAAAGTTACAAAAGTGCATAATATCGATAGCAGTAGAAATGATGTTATGAGAAAGTCAATTTTTATCCTTTTAAATTAAAAAAAAATAAAAATATTTTTTTAAATTAAGTAAAAGGTAGTCACCATATTGAATATAAACAGACGAAGTAATTCAGAACTATACTACAAGGCCCTGTGGCGCAACGGATAACGCGTCTGACTACGGATCAGAAGATTCCAGGTTCGAATCCTGGCAGGGTCGCACAAAATACTTTTTGAAAATTTTGTTTTTAAGTTAGAAAAATATTTAAATGTAATAATGACAATTGAGAGCAATCAAATTATTTATTACTTCTATCGCAATGGTTGTCCTCTAAGGTCTAGTAACCCGAGCTTCATAATCTACCGTTTTGTTTTTAATTTATGTAAAACAATTAAAATGAGTGTCATATATTAAAACATAAATAAAGTTCAACGGCCCTCGCCCACTGGCTGCCGATAACGGCACACCATAAAACTTATCATTTGGTGCCACTTTTTAACAAACAATCATCGTAATTTTTGTTACTTCCGTCGCCCGTAGCTCTTCCATTCCAATTTGCACTTAGGTTATCGTCGGCTTTCTGGTGATTTATTTGCGTGGGTTTGACCTGATAGTTAATGTTTATACCGAAAGCAACGTTGAACGAATAATTTTTGAGATTTATGTTAAGCCTTTATAAATATTCTTAATTGTTTTAGGTTAAATTGGAACGTTCAAACGTATCTTTATACTTAGTAGGATTATAAAAAAAGATATGTACGTTTATTTTAATAGAGAAATTATGATTACTGTCATAAAGTCATGTTTGAAAACTTAAGAAAACATTAAACATATGTATTTAGTTTTGTAGGACACGCAATTTTGCTATCAATTGAGGTTTTTCACATAACTTTATTACAATTAAAACATTTGTCTGACAAAACTCACTGTCGTTACTATGGATGGTGCTTCAAAGTACAGTTGTAAAACATACTAGCTACATACACGGTATTAGAGTAGGATTGCATTGCGAAAACGTTCACAAAAAACATTAACATCACTTTAATACTGTTTTAAATAACAAAGACATGTATAAAATACGAATATTATAAAAAGGACAGATTTGTATTTTTGTAGGTATTGAAATAACTCAAAAACTACTGGGCCGATTTCAAAAATTCCTTCACAATTAGAAAGGTAATTTATCTGTGAGTAACATAGGTTATATTTTTTATTATTTTTTCATTTCACGAGGACAAAGTTGCAAGCCACAGCTAGTATTATTATAAAAGTGTTTAGGGAGTTGAAACCGAGGGTTATAGTGTTGTTAATGTTTGTGTTTAGTTGGTAAGAAAGCGCGGGCTGGCGCATTGCAGAAGTCGGCCCTGCAGGTCTTCCACTGCGTTTAATTGGTTACTGCATCATTGTAACTTGCACTATCTGGATGCACAATTAGTACCTACCTAGTGAATATGAATTATAAATTTCTGCAATTTTAGAAGTCCACGATAAATGTATGAAGTCGATTTTGCTATTAAAATTTTTCCTAAGTCGTTGAATAGTTGTAGAATTACACTGTAACCTTCGAAAAAGTACCTAAAATACATCTATTTCATGGGAAATTAGCACAAGCAAATTTCTAAATATTAATAACGTAATCATTTAAGGTATTTCATCCATTCAAATACCATTGTACGCCTGAAATTCTAATTCTTCCAATTCCGGGTGCCGTAAAAAGTCCAAGTCCACGTAACAGGAATACGGAACAAATTCGGAGACAGGAATTCCGAACATTTTCACATTATTCCGTTAAAGCTTGTAACTGTACAAAATTTTGGAATAAAATCTTATAGGTAGAACAAGTATGAAATTGCGCGTTGTTATAGAAAAACGAATTCTTAGGGTCAAAATTCATATGCAGCAAATTCAGATTATAATGACGTAATCGAATACCAAATATCTATTCAAAAAAACATGATTTCACAAAAAAAATATCAGTTCTTTTAACGACAGATTTCATTAGGTAGTTTGTATTGCCAGGAGAAAAATTCAAAACTTCCTGGAAGCAACATATTCATTTATATGTATTATATAAAACGTGCAAGTATAAATATTACATTATTTTAAATTGAGTTTTAATAAGTGTAATATACTCTAATTCCTATTGAGTCTTCCTTCATGTTACTGGCAAGTCTCCAATAATATAGATTTACGACACAAAGATCAAGGTGAAATTGTAATAAAGATGGATTCTAGGTCACAGCCTTGGACCAGATTTCCACGTTTAATTACTGTAAAACAAAAAGACTCCCCTAAATGTTTTAACCATTAAGAGTGTTTGGATTTTTAGAAAACAGAATATTAAAATTATAAATGCGCAATTTTAATGTAGGCATATTTATAATTAAAAATAAAATTGCCTAACGATTATTGATATCTGACACAAATGTAGAAAAAAGTCTAGAAAAAACACTTAAGCTGTTTATGTACTTTTTTAACATCTCGCAATACAAGTTATGGGCAAGAGCTTATCAACGTCAACAAAAGAAATTATAAACAAAGAGTAAGAAAATTTAAACGAAAACATTTTGCCATAGGTATTCTACTCCTAACATCCTTATAAATTACCGTTTTATAGTTTTTTTCAACTATCTCTTTAGCTACCTATCCACCCACAATCCGATATAAAGTAACATATATCGTATAAGGAAATCGTATCCAAGTAGTAGAAATATTTAAATTTAAACAGACGGAAATACAAGTATCCTTATATGTTAGCTGAGTCATTTGCACAGCCTGTTGTTTTCCCATTATCTTTTGCCTTTTGTAGTGTGAATTTAGATGTATAATTACTAAGATCTATGACATTATGATATTTTAAAAATAAATCGAACAACAGCGTCAAATTTAAAAACTCCAAAAAAGGCAAAAGTACATAATAATTAATGTCCCAATGTACGAAATACTTAGTTAAATGGGCCTATACCAACATACCTTTAGGCAACATACATAAAAATTTTAAAAACGACTACAAATACTGCCGATTAATGTTACTTTCATGTCAGTAAGATAACACCATAAGAAGTGTTAATATATTGTGAACACATTTACAAGATGTCATCTGAGTAATGTGAAAGAAAAGTGCTGTTCCAAGGAAGTCGTTTGCTATCGATGTCGATAAATAGCGGAGTGCTGATGCCCGTTGACCTAGTTTCCATAATGATGGCCCTCAGGGCACTCATCAAGTGATAGAGCTATTTGAAAAAAAAAACAAAGTGTAGTACGGGACTATGTTCACATCTTGTCCTTCCCTTGATATTTCTTAAAAGTAGGCTATTTATTTGACGACGGCAAACTACATGTTTTTACACTGATTGTTATTATTTTAGTTTAACCTACGACTAAAAAGGATAAAAACAGTTCAACTTTAAAGTTATATTTAATACAAGGAAAAAGGTATTCAGAGTTTTTTTTATAATACAAGGTGGCAAACGAGCAAGCGGCCGCCTGAATCCACCGAAATGGAAAGCGACCACTGCCCATAAACATCCGCAATTGCAGATGCGTTGCCTACCCTTGATTGACGGAGGAGGAGACGCACATAAAGATGACATTTTCTCTTCTTATGCGTCTTTTTCACCGTCAAATTATTTTCTTCGAGTTTATTCGTGTTTACTTAAAGTAAATTTGCTGCAAAACTTTGAAGTAAGGTAGTACATTACAATGGCAGTTGTTAAAGACAGTTCGAGGATTAAGTGAGACGGTTACAGCCAAGTCTGGCGTGTGGGCTGGGTTTGCAAACTTATTTTAGATTTGACGAAAGCCTTTTTGTTTAATGCCTATTGAAAACAGAGTAAAATCTTATTTGACTCAATGTCGATAGTCAAAGCCTTACCTATTTATAGTAATCTGAACAGGATTAAAGTCTCGAGTACACAGATCCCATTTAGTTTTTTAAAAAGCGTTTAAAGTCACTTTTAACTATGTCGATGTAAATAAATGGTGGGAACGTTCATAAAATAGGCAGTTATAGGGAGGCGTTACAGACGATATTATCGGCATCAATAAATCGAGGCGTGCCGAGGCCCATTGACCCGGTTCCCGCAATGATAGCCCGGGGTGTATTTCATCCGAGCCTTGAGCTATATAAGCTACCAAAAACTAATGGCAAATGACCCGCGAAAAACGAATGAACACAAACGTCGATAGTTATTTATGTCTTGAATGTACATCACTAGTACTTTCTTTCTTTTAAATTAGCTTCCCTTGCGGTTTCCATTGAAGAATATAAATAGAAATTCAACGTACAATTATGTCAACATTAAATCCTTCGAAATGTCGGTGACTGAACAGTTTTGACGTCAAAACTATTTCTATATAAAATTTATATTCAAATATTTTAGTCGAACGTTTCAAAACCACTTTAATTTTAACTTTAATTTTAACCCTGTTATGGTTCTCTATATTTGTGGATGATTTCATTAACTCTTGATTTTCAATGTCTAGAAATTTGTAAGAAACATATTCTTATCCCTCTCCTTAAAAAAAATTGTTAAATGTTTTGATGCAATCTTTCAGCAGTGGAAACGCACTGCAATACTTAAATGTCAAAAACAGAAAGGGTAAGACAAGGTTATAATTTCACAGAACCGTACACATTTCACTTATCGGATCCGTGCAAAATCGATAAGTTTCGACAAAGGCTCGACCTACTTCTAGCGAGCGCTTTTATATCGTACGA